GAGTGAGCAGGTCATGTCTCCTGGCCAGCGGGAGCCAGGCAGCTCGGGACCTGCTCTCCGGGAGGACGGAGGAGGCGCTTCCGCTAGCAGCGAAGGACTGGCGCTCCTGCTGCCCAGAGCTAGGGCTTCAGACTGGCCTCGGCGTTTTCTTAGGTGCCTCAGCAGAGCTCCAGACCCGGCCTGGCCAGTGGCCCCGGTGCTCTTTGGACCCCCTGGGGTCCTTGGCTCCCACTGAGCGATGCTGAAAGGTGCACTGTCCCTGTGAGCTGCCTTGCCATCGGGTGTCTGCCCCATCCCTGTGGTGTTGGCATCTGAGTTTCCTTGTGAGTTACCGGGCCCCGCCCAGTGGCCTCGGGAGGGTCTCTCTTGGTTGCTGCCTGCGTAATTGACAAGCTGAAGTGGGGATTTTTTTGTGGTCTATGTTAGTGGGTCTGATTCAGAAACTAAGGTGCTTGCTAAGAAAATTACCCTCTTCGTCTCTTTTTTGTAGGGAGGCCTTGGCATTTGTCCAACAGTTAATGAGAAATCATGGTACAATTAGGTTTTATTTTTTTTCCTCGATTCTTTCTGTGTTTGACATAATGGTGAAAATGAAAGAACCTTGAGTGGAAAATGCATCAATAAAATAAAAGCATATTGCGATTACATTCTGACCTTGGTTTTTCCGCTCTAACCGTATACTTTCCAGAGAATAATTACATGCTAAAATGTGCCTACACCTCTCTGTTTGCTGCGGGGTGTTGGCTGGGAGCGCCTGCACCTGGGCGCGGCGGTGCGCTGAGACGGAGCAGTGCTTCTGTAACTTCGGAGGTGGCCTGATGGCCAGGGTATCTGTCCTAGAGTTCCATTTTCTGACCGTTCGCCCTGGTGCAAACGTTGCTGCACTGAGCTGGACGGGTAAGTTAGTGTGTCATCTGTAAAGCCAGCTCTTCTGCTCAAGTCAACAACAGATCATTCAAATGCGAATAATCTGATCTGTTGAACAGTGAGCCGCAGAGCAGTCACGGCACGGCGACTGAGTGACCGCCCGTATTACTCGCAGTGGGCTTACGGCGTTTTCTGCTTCCCTGGGTAATTTCAGTGTGTGGGGATGGCCAAGGGCTCATTAGAGCGCGTGCCTGAGTGTGGGCACGGCAGGTGTTCAGAATTGGGTAACAGTCGGCAAGGGCCGGGGCGGACGGGTCAGCAGGGCTGCCTGCCGCCCAGAGACTGCTGGGGCGGACAGGTCAGCAGGGCTGCCGGCTGCCCAGAGATGGCTGGGGCACACCGGCCTCTGCATTGCGGTGCCGGCTCGCTCGCGCCTGCCGTGCTGGTCGCATGCCTTGCTCTTACTCCAAGAGTCCAGTGCAAGGCGTCCACATTGTTAAAGCCATGTTTTAAAGATATTTATCCTTGGGAGTAGATTTCTTTCTTTCTTCTTTTTTTTTTTTTTTTATAGGTTTTTTTACTATAGGGCGCATGTGCTTGCCAGAAAGACAGAGACAGAAAGTGAGAAATCACCTCCCAGGGGGAATGGCCATGCCGCAATCCCTTCTCCTCCGTTTTCCTCTCGGGATCTTGGGCACGCACGCACATGTGCCCCGCATGAGTTTTAAGCCACCGGGTCCGGGATGTGAACCACGGTTGACTACATGGGAGTCCAGCGACATAGCCACTACACCAATTGGTGGTCCCGGAAGTAGATTTCTGTGAAATGAAAAAAGAAACTTTTTAAGTAGGTTTTCCTGGGAAAATAATGTTGTTTTAAAAAAACTCTTACTGGTAATTCGTGTTCCATAATTGGCTCACGTTGCTCATTTCTCCTTGAAGGTTATTTTCCTGATTAAAGGTAAGATGTGTGCAGTTTAAAAGGTTTCAGTCAGTAAGCAGAGTAGAAGATCAGGCTCCATCAGGAATCCCATCATGAACAGAACTTTTATTAATACTCCGGCGTGTGCCCATGTGTTCGTGTGCACGTGCGCAGGCATCATGCGTGTTTTGTGATCTTTGTTACCTCGTGGCTCCGGGTCAGCAGTGGCTGTCATTTCATGCCATTCAGTGCTGGCCCTCTGCACCCAGGCTGCTTGGACGGCTTCCGAAGCTCCTGAGTGGGACGTGAGACTGTTTGGTGAGCGTGAGCACTTTTTCCTGGAGGGAGACGGGTACTGTTCATCACATCCTTGGAAGGCTGTGACAGTTGAGAATGAATTGTATTTTCAGTGGCTCCATAATAATATTTTAGAATTCATTTACGCCCCTGCTTTAGACTTCCGGTAGCAAATGGGAAGTGCCGTGTACACCCGGACCGTGTTGTCCCGTGGTGCAAGGATGGTGTTTCACTGTTTTCTGCATTCACCCGTGAGCCTGGGCCGTGGGGCCAGTGCTGTGGGTCAGATGTGCCGTGTGACACTCATCCCCTAGAGGAATGCAGACATGGGCATTCTCTGTGGTGCAGGGAGGAGAGGTGTTGGCCTCTAAGCGGGCATGGGCCCTGGGCTCAGCGGGAGCTCGGCACCCCCAGTTCCTGTGGCCTCTCCGTCGTCTTGGGTTACTTTTGGTCACTTCCATTTCCTAGGAGAGGGCTTGTTTACATCGCGGTGTCACGGTTAGACGCACACAGAGTGCTGGTGTTTAAGCCAGGTCTGGCTGCTGCAGCCCCCCTGGCTCAGCCTCCCCACTGGGGCTCCTTTTCAGACAGGGTCTCATCTTGCCCAGGCCAGCCCTACACTGCCGCCTCTCCTCCCGAGCCCCTGAGTGGCCGGGAGTACAGGGCGTGCACCACCGTCACCCTTCAGATTGAGCCAGGAGTGGAGTCTGGGCCTCCCGAGTGTGCCAGCCCAGGGAACGCAGCGTCTTGTGGTGGCACCATTTTTAGCCAAATTGCTAAAACTATTTTAAAATCCTCTAAGTCCTGTTGTACGTGTGGACAGACCTTCCTGGTCAGGTATGATTGGGATCGACTCCCGGAGCGATGACCAGAAAGGCACTCTTGGGGCATCACAACCTAAATGGGCCCTGCGGTCTGACCTGGGCCCTGGGCCGCCATGGGCTGCCTGTGCTGCGTGTCCCACCAGCCAGAGCCAAGGTCGGGGACCCTGGGCCCTCTCCCCAGGAGGAGGCAGTGCTCCTGGGAGAAGTGGAGACCCTAAGTCTGGGGAGAAAGGAGGATGAAGCTGGAGCCTTTTCCACCAGGAGGCAGGGAGGCCCGTTAGGGTCCAGCCTGGATTCAGAAGCACGGGGGGAGGCTCGGTCTTCCCAGGGTGGGGGAGGCGGACGCTGTGGAAGGAAGGGTGACACCGCATGGCCGAGATGCCAGACACACTCTTCCCCACACTCCGAGCGGCTGGAACACAAGACCCGGAGTCGTGGCCGTGGAGGACAGTGAGTTAAGGGCACCCTCACATGCCCCTCAGCACCCCTGGTAAAGGCGAGTGATCCCCTTCACTCCGTCAGTACAGGTGGCTACAGCCGTTCCCAGCGGGGCTCTGCGGGGGGAGGGGGAGGGTACGTGCGCTCAGTACACGGGGCTGCCTGCACCAAAGGGAAGCACCGCGAGGGCTCGGGCCCCCGGCAGGCTGTACCAGCGCACATCTTATGGGGTGCAGCGAGAGGAACCGCCAGCCATGCAGGTGCCGAAGGGGCCACGGAGGTGCTCCAGTGTCCCAGGGAGGGAAGGCCTTCAGGAGGTGAAGACTCCGAAGCCCTAAGGGGAGGGGACACTTAGCTGTGTAACAGGTGGAGCAAACGTGGCCCACGCTAGAAACGGGCTAGCGGTCGGCCTGGTAAATTGAACTTGGAGCCTTGGCAGAGGCACAGTGGCCATGGTCAGTGAGGCAGGACATGGATGCTCATTGGTACGGAGAGCGCCAGATGAGTGGCAGGCTGGGAGCGTGGAGAGTCAGCTCCCAGGGGAAGACACGTGGCGGCCCCAGGTCGGGGTGTGCCCAGCGTCACTGTGGTCAGGGACTCCCCGCAGAGACCACGGTCGCCCTCCCGCCTGGTGAGCTGAGACAGTGTTGGCTGGCAGTGGCGGGAAGGAGGCGGGCAGTCTGAAATGAAGTACTTCGGGGCCGGCAGGTGGCGTAGTGGATTCCCGCATGGCCGACCACGGTTCAAAATCACACTGGGAGCGCATGCGTGTGTGCCCAAGGCCCTAGAGGAGGGTGGAGAAGGGATTGCAGCATGGCCAACCCCCAGGGTGCGTTCTCCGGTGAGCGCACACTCCCTAAGGCAAGAAGGTCTCTGAAACGACGGCAGAAGCAGTGCTTTGACCCGGCAGTTCTGCTGCAGAACACGGGTCCCGCGCACAAGAGTCCGTGTTTGGGGAGAGGGTGGGGTGTCCTCCTTGTGGCAGGGACAGCAAACTCCTCTCATCTCGGTGATCGAGGGTGCCTGGCGCAGCCGGGAGCGTGAGGACACCTGATCGCGGGTGGAGCGGCCAGAGCCGCAGGGAAGGTGATTTCCCACAGGGCCTCTTGGTCAGCTGTGCTGCCCTTGGGCTGCGTGTCCCCCCTGGTGACGAGGTCCGAGTGAGGACTTTCTCTGAACAGAGATGTCTGCTGAGACACCTCCAGACCATGCTCCAGACCCGGGACCTGCGAAGTAGAGACTGCGGGGGCGGGGGTGGGGTGCCTGGACTGCAAGGTTACAGTTCCTGGGGAGTGCTGGTGTGCGTCAGCTGCCCCTGCCCTGCCCTCTGAGCCACACAGCAGGCTGGGGTCTGTCATCGTGTGGGGACCCCAAGTCTCTGACGGAGCTTGACTCGTGTTTCTGCTTTGGCTTTAAAAGTCTGAAAGTCCATAGCCCAGTGGAGGGGTCACTCTCTGGGACGTTCTGTGTGACACGCCTGGCATGTGTGTGTGCGGGCCCCTCATCCAGGGACAGTTGCTCAGAGGACTTGCTCTGCCAGCAGGGGTGTAACACCCTGCCCCTCTGCCAGCGGGGCCCTCCGTAACGCCCTGCCCCTCTGCCCCTCTGCCCCTCTGCCGGCGGGGCCCTCCGTAACGCCCTGCCCCTTTCAGTTCTTCGTGGCGTCAGACCCGGCGGTGAAGGCGGACCGCCTGTGGCAGGACAAGTACACGCTGCGCACGTCCATGGTCCCCTCGTTCGTCACCATGGACCAGTCCCGGAAGGTAGGCCCATGCAGCCTCGGCGGGGTCTCCTGAGGGTCTGGCATGGCACGGGCTCAGCTCGGGGGACACCCACGGTGGCTGATGTGACAGCCTCGCCAGTCCCACTGCACTCTGCGCGTAGGGCTGGGTGCGGTCTCCCATGTGACGGAATCTCAGGCTCTCCTCTCCTTAGGTGCTTCTGATAGGAAAATCAATAAACTTCCTGCACCAAGTCTGTCACGACCAGACGCCCACCGCCAAGATGATCACTGTGGCCAAGTCTGCAGAGTCACCCCTGGACGGTATGAGGAAGGGGGGCCGCGGTGGAGGGGGTGGCGATGGTGGGGAGGAGTGCGTGCTGTGGTGGCGGCGTGACCGCGGCGGTCGCGTGCTTCCAAGGGTCTGCATCGCTGTCCTACGGCACGTGCGGTACCCACTGTGTGCATTTCTAAGTCCGTCGTGTGGAACGAAGTAATTACTGCGAGTGGGCTAGGAGTCGCTCACTCGCCCTTCCCAGTAACGGCGTCACTATTCCTCACGCTAAAGCAATGCCGTCCCACAGCAAGGCAGGAAAGGGTGAGGCGCTGCCAGAGGTGGCCATGGCCAGGCCGGGGCTCACGTGCACGCATACATACGTGTGTATGTTTATGTGTGTTTTGGTAATAGGGCGCATATGCCCGCCTGAGAGATGGAGAGACACAGAGAGTGAAGGTGAGAAATCACCTCCTCCCCAAGGGACGGCCCTGCCACAGTCCCCATCCTCCATTCTCTCAGGGTTGGGGCACGCACACACCCCGGCAGGATTTTCAAGCCGCTGAGCCCAGGACAGAAACTGCGGTTGGCTGTGTGGAGTCAGCACTTTAACCACCACGCTGCCTGCTGGGCCCCAAGTAGTAATGTTTTTAAATAGTTTGACAAATTAAAAAGAGAGAAGCCTGAACTTTGTAAGTGAACTGGGATGATACTGGTTGTTGTTTTATTTTATTTTTAATTGCCAAAGCGTGTGTGCACTTGCCAGAGAGAGAGGAGGGAGGGATGGAGAGAAAGCACCCTCCGCGGGGCCTGGCCGCACTGCAATGCCTGCTCCCTCTCCATCCTGTTGGAATTTTGTCTGCACACACATAACAAGCATTAAGCTTCCAGTGCTGGGATTTGAACTACGGTCAGCTGTGTAGGATCCAGGTTCCTCAACCAGCCAGGCTATGGAGCTGGCCTTGACGTAGTTCTAGCTGATGTTTCTCGGAGTCAGCACTTGGGCAGGAGGGCCTGGGAGTAGTAAGAGCCCAGCGAGTGGGAGGTTTGGCCGCAGGAGACTCAGGCCAGGTGG